TAGGCTCACAGTGAGAGCTCTCCCCTCCCACCCCGGGGCTGACAGCCTGAGCTGTGAGCCCACACCAGGCTCAATTTCACAGGAGGGGGCCTACCAGTAGTGAAATTGACATTCTTGTCAGTTTCTTTTTATTTGAGCTCCAGCTGTCAGCCCTCCAGGGCTGACAGCTGGAGACCTTGAGCTCCCTGGCTGACAGCCAGAGCCAGAGAGGAAAAGTGAAGTAATAGCATCAGTGAAACTGACAAGAATGTCAATTTCACTACTGGTAGGCTCCCTCCTGTGAAATTGAGCCTGGTGTGGGCTCACAGCTCAGGCTGTCAGCCCCGGGGTGGGAGGGGAGAGCTCTCACTGTGAGCCTACTGTCGCCTCCCAGTAAGGGATTCGGGCATGGGGGAGAAGCACAGCTGCCTCCCGGTGAGGGATGGCAGGGAGAGTTTGAGTGGCAGCCCGTTTTGTGCCATCCTTCCCCGGGAGGTGGCAGTGAGGTTCCAAGCTATCAGCACTGGCGCAGGGAAGGGGGTTTACAGATGTCAGTCCAGCTTGGGGCTGACAGCCAATGTAAGTAACTTTGTGTGTCTATAGAGACACAGCATCTCCCTAATTACATCGACATAAGCACTACGCTTCTCATAGAGGTGGGATTATTATGTTGGTGCAGTGGGCCCCTTACTTCAGTGGAAGCAGCACTAGAGTATAGACACTGACATAATTAGGTTAACATATGCTGCCTTACGTCTATTATCTCGGTAGCGTAGACCAAGCCTAAGATTTGGGTAGCCTGGGCAAGAAGGTTAAGTGAGTTCTTACTCCCCCATCCCAGAGTGTAATCCAAGTCACCATGGACACTCCCATCCCTGCCACTCCCTTCCCATTTATTTCTGAAGTCTCTAGCTCTATTGATAAAGTGTCCTTGCTCCTTCTTCTAGCAGCCTAAAGTAATTTCTTGCACCCTACAAGGTGTCATTTCTGCATTAGCAAACCATTGACCGATCCTTCAAAACTCAGAGTATCAGGCAATCACGAAACCATGCAAACAAACACCTGCCTTACTAGACTCAGTCTGACAGGAATCCCAACGGGAAGAGATTTGTTTTTCCTTGTTACTTTCTATATATTCAAGTTTGTTTTCTTAATAATAAATGCAGGGCTTCCCCTTATATATATACACACATGTAAACAACCTGAATTCAGATGTTCTTCATCTAAGAACTATTGAGGTGCAAAAAGAGCTCAGGAGACATTGGCATAATGAATAGTCACTCCCCAAATGGGATTCTGCCAGGAAATGCAGTGGGTGTATATTCCCTGACTGACTTGATTGTAGGGGTGTCATTACCTGATGTTTCAATGGGCAGTTTTATCCCAGCAGCACCTGTCTCCTCAATCCCCGTTTTGCATATAGGAAACTGAGGCAAAAAGAGGCTAAGTGACTTGCCCAAGGTCAGGTAGGCAGTCTGTGGCAGAGAAAGGAACTGAGCCTGCGTCTCCCATCTCCCTGACCAGTGTCTCATCCACTGGGCCATTCTTCCTTCCCTGGAAATATACTACCAGAAAGCTGAGATATATTTTGTTTCAGGGTGCGCAAGATAAGCAGCCTCTAGAAAAGCCCTGATGAGATTCAAAACAGGTCATACTTTTTTTTTTTTAAAGACAAGTTTAAGACATCCCTAACTTATCCCTTCTGCACCTGTAGGGACAAAGTAGGATTCTTCAGATGCAGGGCCTGATTCTCATTTTCACTGAAGCTTCTTTACATCCATCTGGCACTGTAAAAGAGCCTTAAAGTGCTTGTAAGTGTACTCTGAACCCGCATTCTGGCTCATTGACACTGCAGTGCAAAGAGGGGCCTGACTATAAATGAGAATCAGGCTCTTGATGTTACCTAAACTCCCACAGTATATTTTAAATGGGCTGACTCCTCTTGCTAGTTCCATATTCAAAGAGTTAAGTTTTGCAAACATGCTTAGCTAGTAATGTACAGCATGTGCATCCCTAGGGCGGTTTTCATAGTCCATCAGGCACTTGTTAACACACTAACCCATTCATTTTTTTTTTTGATGAATTTGTGGTGTGTTGGCCACAAGCCAGCAGCTGAGCTGGGAACAATATTTATTTATAGCTACACACAATAATTCAAGTCTGCCCCAATCTTGGACTTTCCACTAATCCACGCAGTATTTTGAAACATTTGCAGTTCTCTCAACCGATTAGCATTGGCTTTGCTTGGCTCGATGTAGTGGAAAGAAACACTAGACACTGAATGCTACTGAATGCTTTGATTCACTGATAGAGGGTGAAGTTTCTTCGCTGGCTGTTCTATCAGGCCATAATTTTAAGATTCTTCGGAGGTGTAAAGAGGTCTGTTTTGTGCCTTTGTGAGTAATATTCTATGGCTAGTGCTTGTTTTGCCAGAGGAGGTTTTTCTTCCTGAGGCTTTCCAAATTTTGTGCTGCACAAGGGATGACAGTTTTGTGTGCCACTGAAACAAACCAGCAGGCTGTGAACACTACTTCTTTGGGAGTCTGATTCTCTAAATAAGCAACTACCATTTGGAGAAGAGGATACGCTCTGGCTTTGTGGACACTAAGGAATCAATAAAATCAGCTTGAGGGACCAAGGAGGACTTTCAGAGCAGTAGTCTCCAGTCATTGCATTATGCTAGGCAGGACATAATGCATGGCGCTTGGGCTGGAAAGAACTGTACAGCAGCGTGTGAAGCCACGGAAGGGAGATTTAAAAGTACACTCAGTTCTCCAATTTTCAGGGAGGGAGGGAGGAATAAATGAAAGAGAAAAAGGCCAACAAAAAATAGAATCGTGCAATGATGGGAATTTAGGGCCAAATTCAGCCTGGATGCCAGCAGGTGCAATTTCCCCTGAAGTTAATGCTTGCACCAGAACTGAATTTGGTCACAGTCTCCATAAGACTCTTGGACCGGTGGGAGATAGGAGATTGGTGATGGTTTAATAATAAGAACAGCGACCTCATATGTAGCACAAAGCACTTTTCATCCATAGATCTCAAAATGCTTTACAAAGGAAGTCACTGTCATCACCCCGATTTTACAGGTGGGAAATTGAAGCACACAGAGGGGAAGTGACTTGACTGAGGTCACCAGCAGAGCCAAGAAAAGAACTCAGCGCTCCTGAATCCTAGTGTCGTGCGCTGTCTGCTGGGCCGTTTATAGACCTTTGTAATTGGATTGGACAAAGCACTAGTAAGTATAGTGCAATTGTGCACTGGCAGGGGGAGGTTTGGAAAATGAGCTAGTCTGTCTTTTCCATCTGTGATTCACAGACAGCCACATTCCTTCCAGCACTGAGCCAGCTGCTAGAGAAGGTACCTGTCACTACTTGATGTTACAATACAAAGTAAATCATTGAGTGCTGGCTTTTGGGGAGCATGATCCAAGAGCACCAGGTAGGCCTCTATCTGCCTTTCTGGTATGGCAGAAGGCAGGTCTAGAGAGAGAGAGGCTATGAATGGATGATTTGATTTCTTTATTCTAAAAAGTCTTCCACTCAAGTGGCAAATGGGGATGTTATTATAGAGTAGAGACTTTACCAAAGCAGTTGCCTTTTACGTTGGCTACAGCAGGCTTGAGGATTGGAATCCTTCAGCCAAAGTTCTTCCCCCAGCCTATGCTGCTACTCATGGCAGCCAGACATGTGGACCCAAGCACCTCTTAATGCCAACTGACATGGAGTTGCAGAGGGGTTACAGGAATCTCCTGATTCTGTTATGTACATTCCGGTTCACCAAAGAATGTCATGCGAGATTTCAAATGAAAGTCGGTGTCATACTGGTCATCAGTATAACTGTGCAATGTATGGATGGGTGCTGTGTAAGGAGTCGTGTGTATATATACTGAAAATATATTCTTAAAGTCTGTATCAGAGTATTAGGGCATAACTGCACTACAGACTTTTGCTGATGCAAGTTACATCGGCATAAAGCCACCTCAGTTAGTATATCGCTTGTGCACGTGCATACTTGGCTCCTTGGATCAGTGCACATATTCACCAGCAGTGCTTGTTTCAGTGCACAGTGCAGTGCATGACGGGTAGGTATCCCGGTGTGAAACTCGCCACTATCCAGCACACTGTCTTTTGGGAAGTTTTGGCAATGCCTGATGGATTAGAAATGAGTCATGAAGGGGTTACTGAGACTGCGGGGTCAGGTTCCCAGCCTGCAACTTTCTCCACCCCATAATGCCATTTCTAGTCTATAATTTTGACACCCATTTTGAAAATCCCACAAACCCACGCAGGACTTATTACTGTCCACCATCTCTGACAGAAGCATGGTGCCTGTACAGCTCTGCAATATTGCTATGAGCATTGCAAGTACAGCACGCACGATCCTCTGGTATTTGCAGAGCCACAAGAAGAGCTGCGGGGAACATGACAATTTCCTGAAGGGCAGGTTGCTGGGGGACATTGCAAGAACCAATTCAAGATTGGTGGCAGTGTTCATGGAGCAGCTGTAAATGGGGGACCGCCTCTTCTGAGCACTGACTGGTGGGATCGCCTCATAATACAGGCTTGGGATGATGAGCAGTGGCTGCAGAACTTTCAGCTGTGCACGGCTCCATTCCTGGATCTGTGTGCAGAGCTCACCCCAACCCTCTAATGCAGGGACACCAGAAAGAGAGATTGCTGAGAAGCTAGTGGCAATCACACTGTGGAAGCCTGCAACACCGGATTGCTACCGGTCATTGGGAAGTCATGTTGGAGTTGGAAAATCCACCGTTGGGGCCATTGTCATGCAAGTGTGCAGGGCCACTAATCATCTTCTACTACTCAGGACTATGACTCTTGGCAATGAAAGGACATAATCAATGGATCTGCACCATGCGGTTCCCAAAATGCAGTAGAGCTATAGGAGGCACGTATATCCCTATTTTGGCACCAGACTGCCTTACCCCAGAGTACATCAACAGAAAGGACTACTTTGCTATGGTTATACAAGCACTGCTGGATCCCTGGGGATGCTTCACTGACATCAGGGTTGGCCGGTCAGGGAAGGTGCCTGAGGCTCACGTCTTTAAGAACACAGGACTGCTCAGAAAGCTACAAGCAGGGACTTTCTTTCCCAACTGGCAGATTATCATTGGAAATGTCGAAATGCCAATAGTGATGCCCTGCCTATCCCTTCTACCCAGGCCATCCCAAAAGCACCAAGGAAAGAGTCAAGTACTGGCTCAGGAGGTGCAAAATGACAGTTGAATGTGCTTTTGATAGTCTGAAAGGATGCTAGTGTTGTTTGCTCACTAGACTGGATCTCAGTGTGCAAAATATCCCAATGGTTATAGCTGCCTGATGGGTCCTGCCAAATGTCAGTGAAGCAAAGGAGGAAAAGTTGCCACCAGGGTGGAGGTGGCGCGGCTGTCTGCAGAGGGTGGAGAGCCAGCCACAAGGGCTATCAGAAGAGCTCCGTGCAGAGCTATGCGGTTCAGGGAGACTTTGAAAGAGCACTTCAATAGATAGAGCACAGTAAGCCACAGTTATGCATTCTGGCAATCTGGCTCTCCAGGTTGGGGGCCTGTTAGGAATCGTGTGGTCCTTGGTACTCCTCTATGACTAGAACACTGACAATTCACCTATAGCTGTACATCTGTGATTATTACACTGTCACGGATCCTGTAATTTGTGTCACAGTGTACAACAATTAAGTGGGTGCTTTTACTTCTGCCAAGTATTCTGCAGCATATGGTGGGAACTAATAAAGATTATTTTCTAAACAATCGAGTTTTATTGAGTAACAAACACTTCAAAAATGATGTGCAAGTTAAGAGCCAATCCACTAAAACCTTAATACATTTATGGAACTGAGCTTAAAGAAGGGGAAGGAACATTTTATGTTCATTTTAGCTGTACATATATCAACTGTGGCTTCACAGATCAGCTTATGTGAAGCTGAGACTGTCCTTAATATCCCCCAGGCTGGAGTGGTAGGGGAAGGGTTGTGGTCCCTGATTCCATGTGGGAGGTTGAGTATAAGAAGGTGTTATACTGTCAGGAATGGTCTGGATAATACTTAGTACTGCCGTGAGTGCAGGGGACTGGACTAGATGACCTCTCGAGATCCCTTCCAATCCTACGATTCTATGATACCTGGCAAGTTACTGCACACCCGCTTGCTGCTCAGTAACTCGCCTTGTGGAGACTGCAACGAAAGGGCAGGTTAGCAAGTTACTGCATGGAAAGTTGGCACGCTCTAGATTCACACCCTGGCTAGCCATGCAATAACTCATTGTGTAGACAAGATAGGCTCTCCATTCCCCTCATAGTCCTTCTCTGCACCTACTCACCAGCACAACACTGACTTCTTTAGGCTTGTTTCTTATAGCAGATGGTCAATATCTTTTATTAACCCATCCTATGTACACTTACGAACCGGCTGTATTTTTTTCAAAACAGGCCAAGATTACTTATTCATGTGTTAGTCTAGGTCTTTATGGCCACATTTTCATTTCCAGCAGACTTTTAACCATTTTCCCTGCAGTCCATGTTCACACATTGAAAACCAAACTTTGAAAAAAATTGGCCTTAAAATATTAGGCTTGCAGATGAGAGCAACGTTTAAGACAAAATTAATTTATGTGGGAAAGTTTTGAAGGAGTTGCATCATTAATGGCAACTTTATCTGACCAGAATTTCACTACTGCATGGTTTACATCTCTCAGGAGACCTGCAGTAGTTTAATATTAAGGAAGTTTTCTGAGCTTTGTAAATCCTCATAAAAGTTCTTTTTAGAATTGTGCTGCAAACAAATCCTTCTTTTATCATAAACTTTTCCCCTGTCTTATTTCACTGTATTTTGTGCTATTTTAAAAAATAGTTTAAGACTTGTGCAAAATACGGGAAACCAAAGTCTTATAAGATTGGGAAGGAATTTTCCCTCAATAGAATTTTAACTAGGAATCTTTTTAAGGTTATTACTTATTATTTGCATCTAGATACCTCAACTGAGATCAGGACCATACTATGCTAGGTGCTGTACAAACACATAAGATATAGACGCTGCCCTGAAGAATTTACACTTTAAAGAGACAAGACTGGATGGAAGTAAGGAAGCATTATTATCCCCATTTTGCCGATGGGGCACTGAGGCTCAGAGAGATTAAGGACCATATCTGCAAAGGGGCTTAGGCATTTCAATACTCGGCGTTACAACACCTGGCTTTTAGGCACTTAGAAAAATCACAGGAACAACATTGTGCTCAACAAGGCTGAATTAGGCACCTAGACTCCGTGTACAATGAATGGGGAGATTTAGGTGCCTTAGAGCATGATCCACAAAAAGCCAGCATGCTAGCGAGCCCATTGGAGATGCCAATAACAGGGATGTGTGCTAAGCCCGCCCCTCTCTCAGAGATAGGCACCTAAGGCCAGGCTGCAGGGAGACACCGAACTCTGCTTAACAATCCCCGAATGGGAACCAGCTGCTTGGAATTAGGAGGCTTAGGGGCCTAGGTAGTTTCTTAATAAGTTAGGCCCCTACCTCACTCCACACACAAACACGATGAAGAGGAGCCCAGTTTATAACTTTTCTCTCAGTGGTTAGAACAATTACCTGGGAGGTGGGACACCCAGGATCAATTCCCCTCTCTGCCTGATGAGGAGAAATGAGGTGGGAGGCCCTGCCCTATGCAAATCCTAGGAGAGTGCTCTATCTGCTGAGCTCTTCTGATATGGGGCTCCTTCAGTCCCACCTCCTGAAGCGGTTTCATTGTGGATAAACTGCAACAGACTCATTGGAACAAGGGGACTGGATTGTGGGTCTCCCACCTCCCAGGTGGGTGTCCAAACCTCCAGGCTACAGCATCAGTCATTCTGGCCCAATGACTGTTCCATTGTGTATAAATACATGAATGGGACCCAGTCTGGCAGGCAGCCTCTGAGGAGACCTACTAGACCTGGCCCCGCATGTGAAATAGGTGACTGAACACCTGCCTTCTCCCGGTTCATGGATCACCCTGGTCCTTAGATGGGAGATAGGCATCTGGATGCCTACAAGGAGGCAGCTGTGCTCATGCTCAGAGGCAGAAGCCTAGGCACTGAGGGAACTTTTACCCTGAAAACTTAGGTGCTGAATGAGTTTAGAGGCCTACATGGTTTGAGAGGAGTTCTGTAGATCACAGTGGAGCCTAAGACTGGGATTTAGGGACCTAAATTTGAGATTTAGGTGCACAAATCCCTTTGTGGATCAAGGCCTAAGCAACTTTCCCAAGGTCAGACAGCTGGTCCATGGCGGAAGTAGGAATAGAATGCAGATCTCCTGAGTCTCAGAGCGGGGCCTTAACCTTTTCCTCTCCAAATGCTTTCGCCTTCCACCACAGCCCTGAGCAGCTTTCATCATGATTTCCTATAAATGCAGTGGGCATTGGTGGTTTTTCAATACCATCTGTCCTCATGGTGAGAGAGCACAGCCAGCAGGTTCTTCACAGACAATTTTCAGCTACCTGGAGAATTCCAGTGCATAGGGTATAGACAGTTGGTATTAACATTAAATGATAGGGAATAACTTTTTGTGTGTCTACATATTGGCCACAAAAGCCTGCCTCTCCCCCCGCCCCCCCCCGAATAATCCAGAGGTCTAAGCCCACTCAGCTATAATCTTTCTTAGGGGCATATTCTTCCATCAATCTGTGTTCTAAACTCCCAATGATTCCAAGCCCTATGGCCAGTGTTATATATTCCATTCTTATCACAGACAGTGATTTAGCTACCTGGGCATCAGAATGGGCATTATGTGACACGTGCATTCTCTTCTTCAATACAGGCATCAGCTAGTGGTGCTCGGTGGCTACAGAATGGATAGAACTTCCTGACTTATCCATCTGGGTCTCTGGTTTGTAGCTTGTCATCCCAGATGCCACACAACTCTCTATGGTAATGTTCAATAGCTCTGTGTTTCATTCTGTATTAGATGGAGATTATCCAAGCCATCTGCCAAGAGCAGAGATGGGGCCATGACATTCCCAGTCCGTGCACCCATTCTGTCTGAGCTGTACCTGTAGGGTTACCATATTTAAAAAAATAAAAAAGAGGACGCTCCACCGGGCCCTGCCCCCGCCCGGAACGAGGGCAATGCAGCTTAGCTCAGAGTTCCGAGGAAGGAACGCCTAATTAATTGTCCATTCAGTACCTCTTTCCCTGATTTCTCGTTAACGACTGATTTTTAAAAATGAGTTCAGCAGCTCAGCCATTTTACAGTCACCATTAATTTAATCTTCCTCCTTATTTATTAATAGAGCTACTTTCTCTCTAGTTTTTCTTTTCCCCTTGATATATTTCTAAAAGCTCTTCTTAATACCTCTGGGAGCATTAACTCATTCTACTGCCCTTGTTTTATCCCTGAGAGCCTTAACTGGTTGTGAATATTCTTGTTGGGTTCCCTATCCTTGTCTTCCTTTCTAGCATAAATCCTTTTTCTGTCTCAGATTTTTGAGCAACTCCTCTTGGATACAGATTTGCTGCTTCATGTATTTTTCTGTTTCTTTTACAGGAGGAAGGGGAGTTGATTGCATCAATTATAGGAGAACATGTCCCCAGCTGGTGTACCACGGGTATAGCTCCTTTGACTTCAGTGGAGAGAAGCTGATTTATATCACCTCAGGATCTCGCCCCATGTCTCTTGAAAATTTTCTGTCATTCTCACGGCTTTCTTCCCGCTGCACCATGTTCAACAAATTCTGTAATTCCCACAAAGGTCCTTGCTTAAAATCCAACACCCTAGTGTATACCCTAGTGTATTATGATGCCCCAGTTAATTATTAACGGTAGTGCTTACAGGCCCAGTCATGGCCCCATTGTGCTAGATGCTGTAAGATACATAGTAAGAGAGTTCCTGCCTCAAAGAGTTTGCAACCTAACTAGGCAAGACAGAAAAGAAATAATTTTATCCCCATTTTACAGATGGGGAATCTAAGTACAGAGGGATTAAGGGCAGGATTTTCAGAAGTACCTAAAAGGATCAGGCACCCAACTCCCATCTAAAGTCAATGTTAAGTGAGCAACTAACTCCCTGGGGCACTTTTGAAAATCTTCCTTAAGTGACTTGTCCAAGATCACACAGGAACTTTGTGGCAAAGCCAGGAACTGGACCCAGGTCTGCTGAGTCCCAACCCAGTGCATTAAACACAAGGCAACCCATCTTCACTTATGTCCTCAACTGGTTCTATGTCCTATAGTTGTACTTGCTATGCTGAATTCAAGTGCCATTGCGGTCACTAGTACTAAACTTTCATATTAGTCGGGTGCACTCCCTTGAGGCTGAGGATGATCTCTTTCACAGATTTTATTTTTTATGAGTCCCTTGTTGACTGAGGAGTCCGATCGGCATGTTGGCAGATGTTGCAGATTGTATTGGAAGTCAGGGTTGGGCCAAGATTGCTGAGTGACAGTCGTCTGTCCTTTCTTTTCTGGCATTTTTCAGGGCAAGGCGATTTTCCTCAAAAGTGGTCATTCCTTCTCTGACAAGTCTTCACCGGTTATCTCCCAATGCGTAGTGTCGATGCCACCTCTCTTCATGTTTATCTTGAAGATGTCTGTAAAGCGTTTCTTTTGGACTTCCCGTTTCCTTTCTTCTTCGGTGAGTTGGGCGTAGAGCAGTTGTTTCAGTAAGTGAACATCAGGCATGCGCACACAGTGCCCGCTCCACCTCAGCTGGCACTGGATAATCAGGGCTTCAGCACAGGATATTGGCCTCTGTGAGGACACAGACATTAGTGCAATTTCCATATTACTCTTGCATTCACAATAAATTCCTACCCACTGGTAAGAAATGTCTTCTATTCTGATTGGGTCTTTTACTAACTGGATTATGAAGTTGTCTCATGGATAGCTCTCTGAGGGTGGTGACCCATATGTAGCTCTGCTCGTCACCCAGCAGATTCCTGGGTTGTTAAAATCCACCATTTGGGTGGTATCCTGCAGTCTTGAGTTCGCTGAAGATTGATCTAGGACTTTCATTCTTGTTGCCTTCTAGTCCTGGGGCGGTGGCTGTGGCAGATGCCCCACTGCAGCGTTTCTCCTTTGTTTTTATATCCTCCCCCAAAATAGCTTTTTCATGACAAAATTGCGCCTCACTGGAATGGTGTACACCTTTGCCATGTAGCACCACCTCCCCACCGCTGCTTCCTTCCTCTTTCTCCCCAGACATAGAGAGAGTGCCATCAATATGAACACTCCCATTCCAGTTTTGATTACAACCACTCTCTCTGTTAGTATCATTGCTAGCTCATTTTACTAATTTTTCATACTATTTGCCTCCGTGCAGATCAAGCACGGGACAGTTATACTCTCATTCAGTCTCCTCTGATGCCAGCTGGCATAACAAAGAGATGGTGAGTTAGAGAGTGGTGCAGACAAGCTCCACTTCACTACATTCTCCATTGCAGCTAGTTCCCTTAACAGTGACCAAAACTGGAGAGCTCCCCTCGCTGCTTTAACTTCCACCAGAGCTGGTCAACCAGGCATCACCACCACCTCCCTGATTTCCAGCTTGGACAAACTGTGCTCTGACATAGTTGGAACTAGGACCGCAGGGTCCAAATTTGAGCAGTGGGTGTAATGTTGCACCAGCAATGAAGTTCAGGTAGCGCTCGTTTGGGTCTGCAGAGTACTTAGGGGTCTAAATGCCACTGTACTGCACAAGTGAGTGTGAGTCTACCTGGCCCCCACCACAAGCATCTGAGCATCTCACAATCTTTAAAGTATTTATCCTCAACACCACTGGCAGGTAGAGCAGTTCTGTTCTTACTGTTTTGCAGATGGGGAACTAAGGCACTGAGAAGCTAAGGCCCAGATCCTCAAAGATGTGTAGGCACTGAACGTCCATTGAAATCCATCGGGGTGGGGGGAGGCACCTAAATACCTTTAAGTGACTTGTCTAATGTCACACACAAAGTCTGTAGCTGAACAGGGAACTGAATCTGGGTTTCCCCAAGTCCTAGACCAATGCTGGAACCACTGGACCATCCTTCCTCTGTATCTGAAGATCAGAGTATGTGTTTGTTACAACACCCAGCTAGAGAGCTTTAGTTCGAGCTGTAACAACTTATGCTTTTAGCTCTGGAGGAACAGGGCTTAGTCCCCAGTGTGTCAGTCAGGACAGAGGTCATCACCCTACCAGTTGTGCCTACTGTTCAGTGCAGCCATCACATTTTTGCTTTTAAAACTAGAGAACAGTCTGAGGCCAAGCTGCAAACCAGGCCTACGGTACGTTGAAACCAGTGATTGGTCCTTCAGGCTGGCTGCAGACTCAGGCAGACACTACTGCATTTAGCAACATCACTCATCTATTTGGAAGATTATCATTGCAGCTCTGAGGGTTAGAGGCTTACACAGAGCCTCAGGTGCACTGCAGCCGCTCTAAGACTCTGGGCAGAGCTGGCATATCAGTCATTGGAAGATTATCCTGATCCAAAGGGAAACCTTCAGGAGCATAGATCTGATGTAGAGAGTTCGATCCTTTTTCTTTCCCTGCTGCCAGCACAGAGGGCACAGCTGAAGAAAAGGGATGTGATCTGTACATGGTTCCAAGGCCCAGCTGTCGATTCTACATGTAGGAACTGCCAGCAGCAAGCATATTTTAGAGCAGCCTGAGAACTGTTCTAACTTAGACAGGGGGACTGGCCCTGCAAAAGCAACCCCAGCGCTACTCCATCTTTGCACCGACAACCTGACCAACTTGCACCGTATGCTCCTTCACTTTAGCTGAGGATCTGGCCTTGGATTTCTTTTAGATAAAAGCTTAGGTTCTGGAACACACGAGAGTCTCAAGTACTGGCTTGCTGATCCCCAAATCACCCTACCTTTACCCTAGCTGCAGAGACACACACATACACACACACAGTACATTACTTTACCAAGCATTTCAGAACCACAAGAAAGGCTCAGGTTTTGCTTGACCTTTAAGCTTTGGATCACTTCTCATTTTATCCGAACCAGTTTGTCTATTTCTACCCAAAACTTCTGTCTACAGAACAGCCTTCAATTAGGCCAAGTCCTGAACGTCACACAAAAACCCCAGTAGCAACTTGAGAGCTGCTGAGTTCTTTTTTGGCTGCAAGAAGATAAGCTGTAGGCTGGTGCTTGAGAATATTAAGACCGACACCAAAAGGAAGAGAAGCTTGTTTCTTTGAAGAATAAAAAGGGATTCAAATGTGTGTGTCTGACCAGATGGGGTGGGAGTGCTAGGAGCACATATTTATCAGAGAAACTCAAATATTTTCCTTAAGGTGCAGCAAACTATTCATTGCAAAAATAACTCCAATGGGGTTTCATGTATAAACAGGAACAAAGAATTATAAATAATGCTCAAAAACCTCCCATCTGGTAGAAGAAGCGCATTGGAAATGTTCATGCTCTTGGAGTTCATTCATGTCCCTTAGGGGGAAAATGGATCTTTGGGGGAAGTCAGTGTTGTGAGTGCGGAAGCATTCCAGTCACTTAGCAGAGGAAGCAGGCCATTGTTTGTGACATTAGTGGAACTGGTTGGAACATTTTAGGCTAAATGAAGTTTCATCAAAAGATACCGTTTCATTGAAGCTGAAATGTTTCATGGAGCTGTATCAGTTTTGACAAAGTTTTGGACAGGAAAGTGGGGTGCTTTATTTCCTCACACACCCCCTTCAGGCCAGTGCCTTAGCCACCATGACACATCCCTCTTCCCCAATCAAAAAGCTCAGGTTTCAATAAAAAAACAAAAACAAAATATTTTGACACACGTCTGTTTCCACAAAATCATTCAAAGGTTTTGTTTTATTTCATCGCAAAACAAAAACAAATGTTGAAAGTTGCCATCAAACAGAATCGTCATCCTCCAGTCAGTGCTAGTCACTAGCAGCGTTTCTAGAGGGAACAGGAAAGTGCTGTATTGTAAATTGCTCACGCAGAGGAAGACTAAGGTTCCACTTAGAGAAATGTGGCACAATAGCATGGAGTCTTTCAGTGATTCATGTAGCTACACAGCACAGTGTGAATGCAGCTTGCTTTTTACTGCAGTGTGTTGCGACACGTACCCTACGTGTTGCCCCCAGTGATGTGCAGTGTAGACGCAACCTATGATAGAGCTATGCATTGATCGTTTGCTGCATTGTCAAGGCAGAGGCCATGTCTACACTTATAAGCAGGGCCATCCCTAGCTATTTTGGTGCCCTATGCAGCCCCCCCCCCCCCCGCCACACACGGGGCTGTGCGGGGCCCCAGGCCTCCATGAGGAGGAGTGGGGGAGGGGCTTCCGTGGGGGTGGGGGACTAGCCACTTCCTGTGTGAAGTGGAGTAATCCGGCCCCAGCCTGCTCTGCTCCCCTGGCTCCCAGGCTTGGTGGGAGGGGGGAACCGCCCCCCAGCACTCACCTGCGGCACCGCTGGGAGCCAGGGGAGCAGAACTGGCTGGGGCTGGGTCGCTCTACTTACCAGTGAGTGCAGGCCCGACTGCTTCTGGAGTCCTCAGGGGGTGGGAAGAGGCGGGGCTGGGGCAGGGGGGCGGGGCCCTGGGGAAGAGCCGGAGCAGGGGCTGGAGCAGCACGCAGCTGCACAGGGCACCAGGAAATGTGGTGCCCCAAATTTCCTGGTGCCCTGTGCAGCTGCGTACTTTGCGTATGAGTGAGGACGGTCCTACTTACAAGCTTACAGCAGCACAGCTGTCCTGATTCAGCTGTGCTGTTGTAAGATCACTCGTGTGGCCATGTTATGCCATCAGGAGAAAGAGCTCTCCCATCGACATAACAAAGCAAGCGGCAGTAGCTATGTCGGCGGGAGAGCGTCTCCTGCCGACATAGCACGTTGCACACAGGCGCTTATGCCGGCAAAATTTATGTCGCTCATGGTTGTTGGGTTGTTTTTTCCCCCTCTCTCTCACCATGAGCAACAAAAGTTTTGCCAACGTAAGTGCTAGTGTAGACATGTCCTGAGGCCAAGGCTTTAAGAACTGGGAGTTCAAAGTTAGGAGCCTAAGTTCATATTTAGGCACCTAAAATAAGTGGCCCGATATTCAAAATTGCTGAGCTCCCAGAAGCTCCCATTGATTCCAGTGCATGCTGTTGAGTGCTCAGCACCTGCAAATCAGGCCTCTTATTTAGGTGCCTGACTTTAGGCCCCCTCATGTTTGAAAAATCTTGGCCTGAGTTTCCAGCAGAGAAAAAAAGATTTTTATTCTCTCCCCTGTAAAATGGCCATTCAGAAACAATTTACTCTCAAATTCCTCACTCACAGTGATGAAAATAAATACATAAAATGCACCCAAAAAATGAATCAATGCTCTTTTTAAAAAGACTTTTCACAACTAATTCCTAATGAGGCATGGCCAATGCTGTTGACATGCAATTGGAACAGCTTCAACTTGCGGGTCAGACTGTTTGATGAATGGACAAATTCCCAGGCTATAGACAAGCATTCCCTGCCTCCTCCCCCAGCTCCAATCCCCTTCTAGCTTCTCACACAGACCAGTTAAACTCTCCCATCAGAACTAAAGCCATTCCATGTTAATAGCACACTGTTTAATTAAAAATTTCCATATGCAGGCTGTGTTTGCCTTCACTGGCCTCTGGATGGGGAAATTAAATGCACAGCAACAGTGAAGGGCTTTCAGCTGGTTTTATGGGGGAAGGCTGCTAACTGGCCTCACTGCTGTCTGCAGAACACTGACTGTACTATGGCTAGCCTGAAAAACTGGGAGGCCAACATAGAGGCTTTGCTCACATAAAGCAGCTCTCTCTGAGCCCAGATGGAAATCTCTCTCTCTCTCTCTCTCTCTCTCTCTCAAGCTGCTGTTACAAACTATAGAACCTGATCTGACATTACTAGCAGGAGCTGTTGCTTTTATTGAAGCAGTTGCTCATGTCGCAGATCAGGAGACCTAGAGGGTGTTTATTCAGGTCTGGGCCCAAGCGCCAGCGCATTCACGTCAGTTTGTGAAGGGAGACTATTCTTCCTTTTAACACCAGCACCGAGAGCTCTGCACATCCTTACAGGTTATAGCAAACAGCAGGA